ACTCCAAGACCTTCCCGAGACCTCGCATCATTCCCACATGTTTGCAACTGTTCGGCCTCATCGAGGGACTCGGCTGCCATCGCTGGGTCAACGATGAGGGCCGAGATCGCCAACGCGGTCCAACCTGCCGAGACCAGAAGCAGTCCGGATGCCTTGCTGCAAGCTTCGTTCGAGTTTTCAACATTCGATCGATCATCTGTCTGAGAGCCGGATGCCTTGAAATCCTCCATCCTGAGAGCTTTGAGCCTCAGATTCGAAGCAAGTTGGAGCCCCCCTTGGTTGGTGGAAGGCCATTAAAGTAGCTCAAAGCTAATTTATGCTAATTTGGCCAAGCAAAGCTCAGATGATGGAGCAAACTACAAACTCACACTGCCCAACTTGCAAGAGTTCTCCAATCAAAAGAAGTTCGATGCCAAAAAAGAAAGTCCAGTGCCAAGAGACGTCAGCAATGAGCTCCGCTGTGGCTGCCTGAAGACCTTCTGAATCCAGGCCTGCACTCTAACGCAAACAGGCATTCCAGCATGTCGTATACTGTAGGCTGCCTCTTTAAAGCACCCTGTCGTTTCAGAACACTTGACATTTGATCTCCAAGGACAGGGCGACAACCTAGGCATGACAAAGCTGCCAGCAAAGCCAAAGGCAGCGTTCCTTCTATAGACCTTGGAGACAAGCGGGTACAGCCTAGCAGTATTGTCAAGCATCAGCATGTCCCAAATAATAATCCTGCAACTTGAAGGTGAACAAGTGCACGCTAATATGACTATGACCTGAAAAGCGCGAGTAGTTAGGACGGCTGCAAACTGGATACAGAGTGCATGTCTGCAAAATGAAGAATGCTGTTGCATTGTTCAATGAAAAACAAGAGTGTTTATAGTGAGGTTTCAGAGGTGTTCAGGGAGCCGTAAAGCCCGCTTTTAGGGCTTCATCGCAGCTTCGTGGCAATTGGCACCTTCTTGATGGGAAAAGAAGAGCCAAATAGTGCGATTGATGTTTGTGAAGGCACGGCAGGGAACGGGCACATCCAAGGTACAAGGTTTTGACAAAAGTGCTACCCGGTGTCAATTTCGGACGGTGGTCCTTCCCACAATGGTATACAACGAGAAGCCGCCCACATGTTCTGAAAGCTAGCAAACCTGATAAGTTTGATTCAAGCTCCGCCACTGAGCGTGTGGATGTCATTCATTGAGCGCTTGAAAGGCTTGACAAAAGGAGTGAATTGCTAGCAGCTGCAGATCCTAAGGAGGCATCTACATGGGTCACGTCACTACGGATACTTTATTGCAAAGACAACTGCGGTTTCAACCCCCTTTTGTCTACTGCAAACATCAACCCTTACAGGTTGAAGCTTTGCCAAAGGCATGCTCCCCGGTCCACTTGGCTTTTCTAAGAGCAAAGCCGTGAGTGAAACAAACAATCGGATGGGTTGTTGAAGCGTGGCAGTGGAAGGTTAGTTTCATATGCAGTGCGATCTCATCACCACACATCACCGCTCGAATGCCCAACCCCAATTTGCAGCTGGGTTCTCGCACCCTGACAGTCTTTCGCACAAAGCAGACTCCCACCTTCCACAACAATCGAGCACAAACTCCTCTAGCCCATCTGCATCAAAAAGTCACGCATGTGAGCCTTTGCGCATGAAGGGAACGAAGAGCTCGGGGATTCCAAACAAAAGCTCCTGCTCCGGGCACTAAAACCTCAGCTCAAACAATGCATGTTGCTCCATCTTCAAAAATAATGTGCAAAACATGCACCAAAGCAAATTAGCGGTCGGGCGACGTGCCAAGCTCTTAAAAGAAATGAACAACCCTCTAAATGTTAGAGGCAAAAAAGTCAACAACCCAAAAGCAGCCAAACTTCAAGCACTACAGCACAGTCACAACCACAACGACGCTCGCGCTGGCATACTCATACTCTGGCTTTTCTTTGCTTCTTGGATGGCTTCTTGGTTTTGTACTTTTTGCACAGGGAAAAAAAACAAACACCAAGGGCCGGGTCAAGGAAAGAACAACTACAAAAAAAAACCTTTGAAATCTGTGGCTGTAATATACTTAAAATTGCACTGTCAGTAGCACTGCGTTTCCCAGTTTCGCAAGCAGCTTGCTTGTCAGAGAAAAAGACTGAAGGCATGAACTGCATAACTTGAGAAACAGGCCTCTTGCTTTATTTACCTTGCATTGCAAAGGCTCTTTTTGGTCTGTGTTGCTCATTGCTGTCTTTTTTTCTTTTTCGCAACTGCGCGCCCCACTTCTGATGGAACGATTCTTCCCCATATGCACGCTATGTCGCTGTGACCCATGGGGCTGTCTTTCTCCTTGCTAGATGGGGTGGCCTGAGAACACGTCCGATGCAGTTGCGAGCATAAGTTGCGAGAGGAGACTTGCATTGAAATGATGGCGGGATGAAATGCCGTAGGATGAGGTGAGACGAGATTGGCGGTTGGGCGGATCTTTTGGCCGAGCAATTCTGAGATCCATGTGAATGCAAGTTGCAACCGGGATGAGCAGCATACTGCCACTTCATATTAGCAAGAGAATAACACAGGCTGCCCAGAGCTACTCGGGATTTAGTTGTGGGCTCTTAGCTCCACAGTATAGCTAAAGTACATTCCCAAATCATCCCAAATCCATAGAGACGTGGATTCCTGAAATTTTGAACGGCAGCTTGAGTGCGGCTCTCTTGCGCTTACAAAATCTTGGGCATCACGGCTTCCACGCTTCGGCAACTGTCGTTTGTCTGCGTTGGCAAGTGGTTTGTTTGAAAGAGAACTTGCTTTCTCAGCTTTCCCGATTCCGCTCTGCTAGTGCCTGCTCACATTCTTGCCATTGATGCTTTAGGGCGTGGGGAACCAGTTCAAGAGCAAGCGTATACCATAATATGAATAATATGCAATGATTCTGCTTCGTGATGAAGTGGAGTCTTGCCATCTCGTTTCCTCGTCTTTTGGTTCTCAAACTTTTGCCCCGCCTTCATGTCGCCAGCCTTGTCGATGGCTTCTAGTCGGCCCACTCGGCCACAGCACCTGAGAGCAAACATGCTGAAACTCGGAGCTTTGCTGAGACGTGCTTGGATCCACAAATGAAGATTGAAGAATGTCAATATAAAGTCTTCTGCAACTCTCAGATGTGAGCTGTGTCATTCGATCGTTCCATCCACCGTGGTTCACCTGCCCAAGGTGCTCAAATCCTTGATTTCCAGTGCATCAAACCACCAAAAGCAGCATGGATTTGTATGAAACATGAGCCTCCGAAGTGGAAAGAACTGTAGCACCAGTTAATGGCGCATTGTGCCGCATATGGATCCATAATTATATATATATATCCATTGTAAAAAAGCATACGGTGCGAAATGCCACACATGTCTGCAGCGTGTACAACGCCTGAAGTTGCTTGGCTTCCTCCACTGCCACGTCGATGCGAACCTAAGAGCAAACAACTTTAGATGAGGTACATAGAGGTACTACTCCACATTTCAGTCGGCGTAGCGTGTGGTTCCTGCCTCATCTCCAATGGTCAGTGCTGCACCCGGCCCACACTCATCTAGGCAAAGAAGGGATGTCAGAAGAAAATGCCAAATGAAGCCAACCAAACAAACTGTAGATGTCGGATCGCTTTGGCAGAACCCGAACTTGTGGCTGTTTGTGCCACAGGTTGGTAGCATGCCTTCTTCAAATGGAAGCAGGTCGGTATCTGTAATAACCTGTCAGAGAGCAAGCATCACGGCTAAGCATGGAGCCTGTGAAGCTCAAATGGACCACGTACACGTCGAACACCGTAACGGACAGCCAAGCAAGCCCAAGAGGCTAAGAAGGCAAGAAACCGAGGCAATCTTTTACTCGTTAGTTTTCACGATGTACATGGATTGATGTTGGCTACTTGTAAATTCAGCCAAGCAAGCTTTGTACCGTGATGCAGCTTTAACTCGATGTGCATCGGCTCGCCTCTGCCACAGCTTTTGCATTCCAACACCAGCATCCCAAGGCCTTGTTCCGAGTGGTCAACCAACTGTTCTCTTTGGTTAATATCCAGCTTGAACACTATCCACAAGGCTACATCTTCGAGCATTCTACGACGAAAAAACACTAAGGGAACCATCCAACAAACATCTTGAAGCTTAGAAACCCCACAGAAGACTCACCTTAAACATTCCTGCAACGCTACAGACCGTGTCGGTGTCCCAAACCAAATTGGGAGGTCCAGTAATGAATTTGGGAAACATTTCTCCAGGTGGAGAGACTCTGCCACAGCCCGAACCGAATCTGAGGCAATCGCTCCGTGGGAAATACGCAAGACCTGCAAAGCCACAACTCCAGCGATGAAGATCTGAATGAAGCTACAAGGGCATCGGTACTAGGAACAAGTGCATTACTACTAGTAACAAGAAGCCTAGCAGCGATGACAATCTGAATCACTTGGAAACGATGCGTGCAATTCCCTCACGCTTATGCCTCTGGCATGCGTGGGGAGCGTCGTGGAATCTCGACCTGACAAAAAGGCACAGGAATATACTCATGTCGCGAAACCTACGATAAACGAAATGGTTCAGCAAGTTGCAGCTTCGTCTTTGCACCTTCCCACTAGTCACTAGTATGTTGCACGTGTTGCTCCTCTCATATTTGCAGAAATCATGGCAACAATCCATAAATCTTTGGAACAATGTCCAATGACTCAATGACAGTGACGAAAAACAATAGAATGTGCAGTTCGGCGAAGCATGCACCATCAGCCTACTGTGGTATTTTGTTCTTACTGTTCACTGTGCGCAAGTGATGCTAAAAGCTGTACGCAATCAATTTCAAAATCTCCTCCGAAGCTGTACAGTTGGGAGACCATGCATTCTGGCTCGCCCCCTCATTCCTTTAAAGGGCACAAGCCAGCAACTCAGATCTAAGAGCAACCCAAACTCCTTTCATGCTCAACTCATGTTTTCATGTTCTTCCGTAGAACGGCCGGGTCCCGGGTCCGCTCAACTAAAACGCTGCCTTCAAGCAGCATCGCAAAAGCTCATGTCTCTCGGTGCCCATCATGAGCACATGCGTCCCACACTCTTTCCAAAACGCCTGATGAGACTGAGAGCGCCACTGGCACAGTTGACCAGACTGGACTCGTTCTGCGTGTCCCAGGGTTTCTGCTTGGTGGGCCTGTGGACAAGACCTTCCTCATGATGGGGAGCACAATCGTTGACAGAAAGGTGTTCCGGAAAGAAGCCTTAAGACCAACTGCAGTATGTACCTGTCCCATCCTTGAGCTTCGAGCGACGACGCTCTCGCAGTAGGCCTTGCGGTTGTTCTCATAGAGTTGCAAGCCATCAGACAAGGAGATCTTTGGATTCAGCAGGATTTGTCCCAAGCAATAGGCATCATGCATGGCCATATTCGCACCCTGCCCCATGAAGGGTGCAGTAGCATGAGCTGCATCCCCCAGCAGCACGGTTCGACCCTTTGGAGAGATCCAGGTCTTTCGCTCGGGTGACCGGTAGATGCCCCAGTCGAAGCAAACCTCGCTGTTCTCCACGGCCGTTTTGAGCACCGCCAAATCGCCAAGCTGTTGAGCGACCTGCTCGAAGCGCTCACGGACCATGGTGGAGTCCCAACGGTCGGTCACTTCCTCCTTACTCTGCAAAATCAGAGCGCAAATATCATGACGACTGGAGTCCCGGCCGGCTGTCAACTCAAGGACACCATATCCAACTCCATCTGCCTCGATCCAGTGGATGTTGTTGATGGAGGGGTTTGGCCGGTACGGCTTGGAGGACACACTGTATAAAACTCTGAAGCCTGTAAAAACCGGGCTGTCTTCACCAAAGACCTTCTGCCGAACAAAGCTATGAATTCCATCTGCTGCTACTACCAAGTGTGCGGAGGCTGTTGCTCCGTTCTCAAAGGTCAGCAAGACGTCATCGTCTCCTTCAACGATATCAATCACTTTGTGGCCAAGCTTGATGATCTCAGGGGGGGAGGGAGTCCACCAAGAGCTTCTGCAAATCCGTGCGCATGGCCATGCATCCTGTAAAGTTCAAGGAGCTTAACTTCGTGCCATTGGCATGATATTGCACGCAAAGGTCCTGACCATCATTGGCCACAGCCGCCAGCTTCGTTCCAAGTCCAAAGCTCTTGAGAATGCGCTCGCCTGCTGCCAGCCCCAGTGCACCCCCACGGACTTTCCATTGATCCCAGGCCTCATAGAGTCGCACCTCCACGCGGTTTGAGCCTTCGCCGCCTTCGCCTTCGCCCGAGCGCAGCAAGGTCTTGGCCAAAGTCAGCCCACCCAACCCACCACCGATGATGGCAACTTTCAGTGGCGAAGTCTCCATGGTTGTTGAAGCGCTGAGACGGTTATGCCAAATGCTTCAGCCCAAAGTGGGAGTCAATGCACAAGGAGTAGAGAAGTGAGTGAAAGGGTCCAGGTGGCACCCTGCCAGTCCCTTTGGAGGGGTCGAACAAAAATACAAGATAGCTCAACCTCTGAAAGGAGCAAGCCAGTAGAGGACAGCGGCAAGAGAGGAGTTTAGTAAGAAAGGTCAAGCCTGAACTTGAACACGATTGGTGATCATGCGTTGGGTCTGTTTAAAAACTCGGTTTTGGCTGAAGGGACCTGCAAATCTTCGAAGCAGCTGAGAGGAAGGTTAAGCAGCTTAAAAAAAAGCTCCGAATTCAGCAAAGAAAGCAAACCGATTCAAAGATCTGACCCAAAAGCTGCTGAGATCTCTGACAACACGGCCAGGAAAGTCCAAGCAAAAAGCCATCCTGGACAAAGGCAAAGCGCTGGAAAACAAGAACGGCCAGGAGATGCTAGGAGCATCACGAAGCCGACCCATCAATGCGGGGGAGAGTCCACGTACATCAAACTGGTTTGGGACACCTCGAAGAACTAGGTCAAACTGCTTGAAACACTTTCGCACTCTCACATAGGTTGTGCCTTTACACACCAAACTAAGGAAGTCACCCCAAGATGCCCGTCTGTAGGATGTATCATGATGTATCGATGTATCTGTATTGGCCAAAGCTATGCACGGGTCATTCTAAATCATGTCATGATTCTTCCAAATTCTTCCCAGCGCTTCAGTCCTGTCGCACCAGCCTCCAAAATGCTCTGGTGGTTCCTCACAAATCCAAGTGCGCTCAGCCATGCTTTAGAAACCAAAGGGCTTCACCTGCAATCACCGTGTACAAAATGCTAATTTCGTTCACATATGACAACATGTGTGAACTTCTTTCACTCCTGCTCCCTCTTCGCACGCTCCAGATCGTTATGAAGCCTGGGGATGTGGGAGAGAAAGGTTCTGCTTGTCCAAAGACCTCTGGACATCATTCAACTTGAAGCTTTCCTTTACGACAGTCTTTATCTCTGCAGATTCACGTCGACCTGATTGCTCTTGGGAGAAACGGTAGGGAAAGCTTCTTGGAACCAGGCTGATCAGCTGCTCGCTTTCAACGAGAACCACAAGATGGATCCAGTTCCGTTTTGTAGTTCAGTTGTGGTTTCTTTGACTCGAAACAGGCCCACTTCCTCCCCATTGGTCCCACACCTCACCACATCGCCAACAGCAATATGCCCATCGCGAAGGGTTGCCCTACCGCGGGAGTTGCCATCCTCAGTTAAACATGTAACATGCCATTCACACCTCACTCTTGCCCCGTGCACGCTTTCATTCCAGATTGGGCAACCATTTCAACTCAGCAAGTCTGGAGCTGGAGAAGGAAATTCCAACGGGTGCCCGCAGAAACATGGAAAACTTAGTGCTCGCACGGGTGCTGTACTGCCACCGCCAGCCTTAGCAAAGACCAAACGTCGCCGGCACGTTGATTTCTAGGAAGATGGAAAGCGCAATCAGGTGAAATGAAAAACAGATCTTGAGCTGCTCCAATTCCGGCGGAAAGCTTGTCTCAAACAACTCCAGAACATACTTGAATTTGATTCCTACTTTTAACATAAAACACTCTGATTTGCTTCCCTTTCTGAGACATCCAGTGAACACACCAAAGAAGTCGTCCCTATTGGGAACCGACCCCATTGCGCGCCGCTGCTGGCAACTTGCGGAGGCCTCGTTTCGGTCTCCTAACGTCCACGTGCGTGTTTATGTTGACGCTTTATGTAACATCTGTGTGTTTCCCACATCATCATGGTTTATGTCTGTGTTGTGTGTTGTGTGGCAGTTGTGTGGTGTAGGGATGTTGGAAAGCTGTGACCATCTTCCGTCTCCACAGTCAATATACGTTCTGAGAAGGATGCTTGATAACAAACCACAAGCAAACTCTGCAGCTGCTGGTGTTGAAGGTGGGCGTGGAGGACCTGCAAGCTTCAGTGCTTGGCTGATCAAGAAGACCATGCTTCACCGCATAACAATGGCCATGACTGCGATGAGTGAGATCTCTTTCGTTGTTCCCCAAGGATGCACCGGATCCACCAGTAAGTGCTTCCTTGAAATGTGCCCTTTCCTTCTTACTTCAAGTCTGAGATGAATCTTGGCAACTACTTCAGTGACAATCTTCGATTCTGCACTTTTGCCGTTCTCCATCGCCTGCCATCTGCCTGACACCACTTGCTGCCGCCAGTAGCAAGTTGCTGAGACCTTGGGTGCACAAGTGGCTAATCCAAAATCAAAAACTCATGATGTAGATCCATCTTGCAGTCTCTTCGGTATCAACACCTCACCAACAAAATTCTTCCATTGGTGGAAGAACTCCGATCTTCTTGGCACTAACTTCTGATGAGTTTGCTTGCGTATTTAAAATCTGTCACAAAGATCTCTTGGAGCCTTACTTGGCAGCAGCGACTCTGAACCTCGGCAGCCACGGCCAAATGGCACTCAATGGACATCCATGGGACTAGACCTTGCTCCCAGACTCTCATGGATCCAATGTCCCGAGGTTCATTGGAAAAAGTTGACAACGCAGGAAGGAACGCCAAAGGTACAGCGGTTTGCATTGCATCAGTGCAAAAAGTCACCAAAGGCAGTCTGAGCACCCCAGCTGGCCCTCTTGGAGTTCATTGACATTGATGCCTGCAACAAGAACTAGAATCAAAAAAGATGACTTGCCCTCGGGGATTTTGAGACTCTTTGAGAAACATCGTGCCCAAGAGTAGCTCTGAGTCAAAAAATTGTCTGGTCGTTTGGGCAGCACAGTTAAAGGGCAAGCAAGCTCTTTGTGATGCTTTGTGCATACCAATGCCCTTGCCAGATGGCAAACTCTCATCAACACCACAATTGGAGTCATAACTTTCTAGACAAACTAGTCGGTTCAGATTCCGAAGCTGACAGGCCCCCGGTCTGCACCGGTCGGTCTGTCAGCAGTCTCCCGTCCTGCAAGACCATTTCCGCCAAATGGCGCCCATCACAGCTGAGCACCGTGAAGGCGCTCGCAGCCCACGCTAACAAGGCTGCGGGAGCGCCCGGGAGAGTCCGCAAAATCTCCTGCTGTTTCTCCATCTTCAATCTAACCAAAAAATGGAGGAGAAAAGGATAACATGAGAACCTCATTTTTGGGCATTGGATTGTTGGACCAACGGTTGAGATCATCAAAGCTCTCTCCTTCATAGCTGCATTGGACGCATCCGCATGATCGCAAAGCAGTCGCCTGGAACGGAACATGCCGTCAAATGAAAAGGTGCTAAACGGTTCCCTCATCAAAACAACAATAAAGAACATGCAGACCAGGTATGAGCGGCCTCTTCTAAACTATCAAAAGCAAGGCAATGACCAGGTCTGGTGGTCTTTCCGTTTGTCGTCTCACCGAGGTTCTGGCATAGCCCCCAAGGCACAAAGCCCAGACTCCCGGAGCGCACCAGGAGCAATGGGCACTCCGCTCTTGGCAGAGGCATCCTGCGGATTCGTCAACGAATCTGCGGCTTCTGTGACCTCTTCGATCCGCCTGCTTGTCTAGACATTCCAGGGGAAAGGACTATATTGATGTTTTGTCTAGGAAAAAATGAAATCAATTTTCTCCAGGCTTCAACGACCCACCTCTCGAGGGACCAGGGCCAGAAAGCTGCGCATGACGAAGAGCCAAAGAGGCACCTGGCTCTCCACTCTTCAGCCCCTAAATTTGAAATTTAATTTGTACAAAAAACATCTGAAAGTGAAAGCTTCAAACCCCAAACTCAGTCAATTCCTCTGCACCGACCAGGTTGCGCCTCGCTGCCCAGGACGGCAGCCGCCCCTGGTCCACATGTGTCAAGACATGTCAAGACTGTGTTTGAGTTCGGAGTTCGTCTTTCCTCGGTTTAAGCCAACGGAAGTCCAAAGAAGTGCGAACAAGGCAGGGCAGAACGCTAGGCAGAACGGCAAAATAAAAAATAGAATGAAACAATATCTCTGTTGCATGTCTTGACGAGCTGCGTCAATGCACGTCTCCCCGCACCTTCTGCGCTCAGAGATCGCCGGCTGCCTCTTTCCTTCATTGTTTAGGTTCGTTCTGCTTTACCCAGCAAACAGCAAAGCCTTCATGATACTGGCGAAAATCAGCCTCACCTTACTAGTCTGCCTGGTCAGCTATAGTAAATAAGCGTTATGTATTAGGTCGAACAATGAATGAAGTGGGGAGCTTCATGAACGACATGAAATAGAGCAAAGATGAGCAAAGCGCATGCGGCGCATGACCGTCAACTCCCAGTTTCGCCAAAGAGCACTCGCTATGCTGCTGTCCAAAAGCATGAAGAACTTGTCCAGTGTCTCGGTGTTCGGCTGGTTTAGGCTTTAGAAGCTGGAGCGGGTCCACTGGTGGCGGTTTTGCATAGGCTCTTGGTTTGCAAACGCGTGGACACGTTCAAAGACCTATGCACTCAGATCTCTGAGACCTCAAGAATACTATCAGCACCCTAAGCGTCTTGCTGGCTGGCTCGCTGTGCAATTGTTGCTGCTTCCTGACAGGGAATCTGATGATTGCTAGCATGTCGGTACATGTCACAGGTACGTGTACAGGAAATGTTGGCAGTATAATGGTCTTCTTCAAGTGCAAACCCACTGCATTGAAGACTTATTCATCCAGCGATTGACACACAAACCGCCTGCGCAGTAGTTGTTGTCCGCCGAAGCGCCCGAATGTGCATCTAGAGGTGGCCTAAATTCCAACACAAGCAAAGGGCCCTGATATGGGTCTCCAACACATGATACGGGAAAAGAAACACAACCCTAGAGGCAACAGCGCTTCTTCTATTCCACAAATCAATCATATCATCTGCATGAGTGGATACAATATTATGTCATGATCCCTTCACAAGGGATCAGCATCGCCAAATACAGTATTCAGCTCTGCACGGAGGAGGGCGGAGCGCCAAAGCGGCAAAGGCCCTGCGACCGATCAGGCATGATCAGGCTGCATCATCTTCGGACTTGACGTGGTCCGTTTATATAAGTTGCTTGATCTTGGCCAAGCTTATGTGCTCATGGTTCAATGGTTTCTGTTTATTTCTGCGATAAGTTTGGTGTGCTGCAGGCTTGCAACGCAGTCAGTGAGGCACTTCGATCGTCAGTGTCGCGGCTGTTCCAACTGGTGGGCAGAAACCAAACAAGTCTTGATTCTAGCATGCTTTGAGCTATCAATAAGTAGCAATAAGTAATAAGTATATTAACTATATATATATATACGTGATTCTTCCTTCCTAATATGTCTAATTGCTGCACCTCCGCCTGATTTTGAGGAAATCAGTGCAACAAAGTTGGGACACTTGTCGGCACTTGCTGTCGGCACTTGCCTGCAACCCCAGGCAAAAAGTTTGGCGCTGCTCGGATTCCGTTGCATCGCCAAGACCTCATCCACACGTCGTGTTTGTCGACTGACTCTTTGATGAAGAGTGGTAAATGCAGCAGCTGAGCACTCCTCTGCAAGGGTAGTAACAATTGTTGCATACTTCGGCTTGATGCTGGAGAATAGCTTAGGTCAAAGCCACTTGCTGCACACCCGATGCTAAGACACCTTCAAATTCCTCACGCGCAGGCCTCGAAAGCGCATCAGCTGCGTGCCACACAGTATATGGAGGTAAATCTGAGAAAGGCTTAAAGTTATTTGAAGCACCACTCTGTGCTAAACTTTTTGCAATCACTTTGGGTCTGAAGTAAACAGCGCTTTGGACTGCTCAGGAATACTTCGGAGGAGCTAAGCATGGATCAGTGATGATCAATCTGCGAATTCGCCGACGGAAGATATGGAAGATGCCCGTCTTAAATTTGGCACCATTGGACTCATCTCAAGCTTATCCCAATAGATCTCAGCGCTCGATCCATGCCGGAAGGAGGCTTTGTGCTTGATGCGACCGACTTCTGCTGCTTCACATAGGCCCAAAGCAATAAATTCAACCTCGTTTGGTTCACCGTATCTCAACCCTCCAGGCTCCAAGTGTCACATGGGCTGTCCCACCCTCCGTGTAAAATCTCACAACCAGTATCAGTCTCAGTACCTATACTGATTTTACATTATTTTACTGAGTGCTAGGCCTCCCTTCAAAAGAAAAACGTTCTGTCGAAGCACATTGCAGCCAGAATGAAGCCAAGTTGGCACAGGAGCTTCATCTGCAAACCTACAAAGGCAATACTTGACCCCACACCAAGTGACCCAGCAAGTGGAGTGGCACTGCCGTGTGGTGTCAGCTGGTAGAATTAGAGTAGAGATTATCTTGTTCCCCGCCTGCACCCACGAATTGTCCGAAGTCTGGATGGGATTTGACTTCCCGCATCACCTGTCAAGAGAAGCTACTAGGACGCTACTAGGAGCTAAGGGCCACGCTACTAGGAGCAAGGATGCTACTAGGGGCTCCTGGCCTTACTGCTAGGAACAAGAAGCCACTAGGAGCTTCGTTGCAGGTTAACATGAACCAACAAAATGTTTGTAATAATAACATGCTACTAGGGGCTCCTGGCCGTACTACTAGCAGCAAGGAAGCTACTAGGGCTCCTGGCCTTACTACTAGGAACAATTAGAATTTAATTAGAAGGGAAGAGTGTTGCCATCGCAGGTGGCACAGCGTCCCGCCTTTTCAAACTGCTGGGCTTGCATGCGCAAGCGTTCATCATGAGTGCTTGGGAAGACCTCCTCTTTCCATTTCATCTCCTCATTAGCGTTGGCTTGAACCATCTTGGGTCTTGGATGTACAAGAATCAAGCAAAAAAGGAGCATCTGCAGCCATGTCATGATTCATCGCCACTGTCACCCCCTCGCACTCCTGGCTGGTGCGTGCGCGTTGCGCATCGCGCAACTCCTCATACCAGTGATTCTTAGACGCATGCTTCTTGGCTGCTGAGGCTGCTCGCTGGGCCGCTGCATGGCGCAACATGGAGCCGGTCTCAAAGCCTTGGGAATGTGAGAATGTCTTGAGAAAACCGTGCAGTACAACCAGCTCATCAAGCTTCGCAGCTTCCCTAAAAATCTAATGCGAGCGCTTCTTCAGCTCCCACCCGCCCTCAGCGCCCTCAGGTGGGAGGGGTTTGCTATCCAACTAGTAACTACAAGTAGATACTGGCCTAATATGGCCTATACCTCATCAGCGGCCTACCCCCCTCACCCGGCCTTAAATATCTTTCGGGAACGGCCTGAGCCAAGGAGCGGCTGGAGCTGTCGTAGACCAAGCGCTGCTGTGGATCTCGGAGAGTCTCCCAGGCTCGCTGCACTCGTTGGAATCGCACTCCGTTGTCAGAAGAGTTCGTCACCTAAAGGAGCATCACCGAAAGAGCACGAAAGGAGCTTAGACCAGCCGACCAAAACATGTTTGGCTTGTCGATATTGGATAGCAGGTCAGTGTGCCTGGTGAATGAGGGATCGCTTTCCATGGCGAATGTCCTCTATGATCGACCTTGAAAGGGTTCTTTGATAAACTTTCCGCCACCTGAGCTTCCTTGAGTGACATCCTTACCACTAGGAGCTTCTAGGTCCTGCCTGCCCCTTAAAAAAATATGTCAAAGAACATGCGATGCATTCTGATGCAAATGAGATACGTCGGGATGATGCTGCTTTGCCAAACGCAAATATGCATCTCTGAGCTCGCCATGCGTCGCAGAAGGGCGAACACCCAACGCTGCGTAGAGGTCGCAGAAGCGCCCGACACTTCGGCGCAGCATGAGCTTTGATGCTGGCCAACCGCGAGTTGATGCGCCGCGGTGCGCTTTTACTATCAAAAGCAAACAAAGCAAGCAAACAACGAGAGTGTAAGAGCTTAGCTGGCTTAGCTCCTCCAAACAGGCCCGTGACAGTTTCATTATGTTTTATCTAACCTCCGAACTAAACACAACAAGCATCCATCCAGTATGCAGCCCCCCTACATAGCTGAAATAGCCTCGAGCCTCCACAGGCACAAAACATCAACTTCAGTGAAACAAGTAGTCATTGAAAAAGTCACAAGAGTGGTTGTTGCCTTTCCGGATAAATTAACAAATCTGAAAATCTGATAGAATTTGATGTTTCAGTGTCTTCAGTTTTAGCCAAATAGGAAGCTCCAGTGTTGGGGCCCGGCTGTACGGCACGTTCTCGCAGCCGCCGGCAGGCGGAGCCGGGCCACGTTTCCACCGCGTCCTGAGACACAGCGAAGGATCGCTCGTAGAACTGGTGAGTCCCATCCCTTATGTTTGCTCCTAGTAGCTTCTTGTTCCTAGTAGTAAGGCCAGGAGCCCCTAGTAGCGTCCTGCTCCTAGTAGCGATGCCCTTTGCTCCTAGTAGCGTCCTTGTTCCCACGCGTCTAGGACGCATGATGCATCGGTTTCAACACATTTAAACATAAATATGTCGATAGACTTTCCTTCATCGGGCCCTAAAGCCTATAAAATCGAAGCAATCTGAGTCAATCTGAGCCTGTTTCCATTAAATTAATCTGATCACAATTCTCCCAAAGTCCCGCTCTCGCCATTCTATTTCTGTCCCGTCAGATCTCGCCTCCGGGCGAATGCCAACTGAACACTCCACCAGCTGCTGACAACATGCAACCAAGGCCGCAGGGTCATGTACTTCCAGCCTAGGAGCAAGGACGCTACTAGGATCTCCTGGCCGTACTAGGAACAAGAAGCTGCTAGGGGCTGGAAGCTCGTTGGAACCCCCCCCAGCCCCACGTGGATCGTTTTGCAAAGTGCGGTCGCGCTCTCTGGGACAGCCCCGGCTCCATGCGGCGCACCACGCGCTTGGCGGCAGCCAGTGTGCTTTGTTGCAGCATCATGTCCTTAAGACGTCGTCCTCCTTTCTTCTTTTGTATCTTCCTTCTTCCTCTCTGTGTGATGCTTCAGGCTACAAAATTCGTACGCTCATCCTGATCTGGATTCTGAGAAATGGACCGCCAGGCCACCATCTGCACAAAAATCCTGCAACGTCGGAATAAGAGCATCGCAACGGACATGGTCTCATATCACACCTTGACAATTTGAATGTCCAGTCCTTTAATGATATTCTTCCTGACTTGTCTCTATCCTGCCAAGCAAGGCATGCTGACCGTATAAAAGGATCGAAACGGTTGAACGATTACAGTACATGAGTTTCATCCAAAGGTCCCTGCAACAATTTGTATTGCAGGAAAGCTTTCAATGTAATATGGGAAGTTCAAGTCAAGGGATGCTTTAAAGTTTCAAAGTTCACAGGTGTCGAATAGCACACACATTTTGCAGAAACTGGGATCGGGTCCCAAAGCAACCAGCATCGTTCAATCCATTCTCGACCTTGTGGAAAACACAGAAGTAGCGACAGAAGTAGATGGCCGCATAGCGGGCCGCATTGCGGGCCGCACAGAAGCGGGCTGTCGGTCTCTGTGAGCCAGACTGGCAGCGACTGCCGACGCTTCCAAAGAGCTCGTCCCACAGGATTTCAAGACCTCACAAGTAGTCAGTCTGAGAAAGTCTGAGAAAGTCTGAAGTGTCTTGTTTAATGTTGAATGCAGAACGCATGTATGCACTGAGGTGATGACAGCACGCAAAACGTCCGCCTAGCACAGAGGGTTGCATATGCAAGATGTACAGTAAACAAGCAACATATGGGGACATGTTGCCAGTAGCTTCAAGGAGTGCAAACAAATGTGTTCTGAACGCCTCTGGCCACAAGAAGTTCAAAGAAAGAGCCGCACGGCAACAAATGTGCTCTGGTGACAAGGGCACCAAGTACTCAAGTACAGTACTGTAAAATTGAACACTCAAATATTAGGCATAATTTGGTCAACCTAAACCTACTATTCTACTGTATGATACCTCATTATATTCTAGAGCTTGTGCTCTGCGTAGGCCTTGCCCATCTCATTCGTTCCGGGACTTGTCCAGTGTCGAAACCTCAACAACATGTAAATGACAAGTGGTAAAAATCCCCACCATTCTCCACCAGTATTCGTATACACCATACATCATAGCTTTGAGGTAAGCCAGAGTTTCCAAATCAAGGACTGGGGTCCCTGCCATCCTTCGCCTATTGGTGGGGCACGTGCACATGGAAGTGATTGAAATCAGTGTTTCAGGCCTTTGTGTCACTGTGTAAAATACCTGAAACCCACCCTCCTTTCGATTTTGAGTCTCCAAATAGCAAAGGAGACTCCACAAGTAGACTGAGTGCTGATACGGTCTTGCTCCAGCGGAGGAGGTGGACTTGGCGATGAGCGATCAGTATTTTCCAGGCACAATTTGCCATTCAAAAGCATCAGTGAGCAGTGAACACACACACACACACGTAGGCATGGCTTTGTCACAAAATAAAGGAATCAATTAGGGAGCCCAATGTGAGAGCTCGGAATAAAAAGGACTATCCAGCTGAGAGCAAGCAGCTTGGGTCCCGACCCCTTTTCCCTCTCTTCCTGCAATTCCTCCAAGTGTTCAGCTAGCCATCGCCTCAGTGGGTCATGTGAAGTACACTGCCCCACTGCTTAGACCCCCACTGCTCACGGATCGTAAGTGAGATGGAAAGAACCCCACAGAAACCGTTCTGGGCTTCTCACAGCAGGCCACGTTCTGCGCAGAAGGCCTTCCGGGAGACCCGGCCCTCACCAGCAGGGTCCTCACAGAGGCGACAGTTGGTACCAATCACATCGTTGTACGACAGCCACTTCCTTTGAAACTACTGATTCAATTTGACCACAAAATGTCAAAAGCAAGATGGATGAGTGAGTTCCATCAGGCAGTTTGTTTGCTACATGGCATGTTCAAGTTCAAAGACTGCAAAGTTAATGAAGTGTGCGGCGGTCCCATTCGCTCCAAAGGGAACCTCGTAAAGAGGCCTGAAGCAGTAGAGGGAGGGACAGCGTAAGCATCTACAAGTTCTCAACAACCACCATGCAACGAGAACCAAAATCCCGGATGGGTTGCACAGCAACGCCACCTTTCTTTGCTGATCCCCAGCCCCTACTTCAAGGTTGACCTGAACTGCCTCGGGTCTTCGTGTTCAAGTTGTGACATGAGAAGAAAGTGGAGAATGCAATTGGGCCAACGCTTCACAGTTGCATTTGAAGCTTATGACCACAACATACGGACTGAAATGGCACAACTTGCTCTTTGGCCCAGCTTTCTCTCTTGCACCTCGAGCTTGCTAGCATCGACGGGCACCACTGCAGGCAATACCTGTCACCAAGTTGCAATACTCAAAAACTCTCAAAGCCTTAAACAAAAGCTAAACAGCTGTTAAACATCATTAAACAGTGTCATTGACGAAATGTCAGAAGTTCGTCTGAAGGACTCGTGTGAAGTTGAGCTACGCCGGTGTCTCAATGTCGTCGCCGATTTGAACGAGCCCGACTTGCCGCCTTCTCTAAGAGTTGGCGCTCAAGGTACCCAGAGCCATCTTCATCGAAGAAGGCAAACCAAGCTGCAGGATCCTCCAAAGACTCAACCAGTTCAAAAACTTGCTGACATTTTGGAGCAAGCTATCTTTGACATCTGGAAAGAGAACACAATACAGTAAGACCAGCGCACAAAAGACACGGTAGAATCACAAGCAGAACACAAGGGGATAGAGAGAAACAACATAGACACGCTCATCATTTCGACTCCATGCATGGGCATTGCCCTGCCTCTCGAGGATCTGGTGGCCGGGTTGGGGGGCGGTTGAAACTGCTGACGGCACACGGGGCAACGGGGTGCGGCAGATTGGAGGGAAAGCTCCGTGGCGCATGCAGCACAAAGGAAATGCCCGCAAACCCGACCTCAGATGTGTTCTCAGTCAAATGAATGTAGCAGACTGACGGACCAAACGAGCACCCAAACCCAGATGACAAACCGCATGTAGTCAAAGGGCACTAGGAACACTGGCTCTTAGAATCTTTGGCTAGAATCTAGAAACAGTGCATGAGATAGTCTGTATCTGCACATACCACATCCATACCACACACGTGACACCGATCTGTTCCAACCAATCGAACAAGTGGCGACCACCGGCATCGAAAAGGACAGCTGGACCACCCTCACCTTAGTGTCCGAGGAGAAACATCTGAGACCGTTGCGACATGTTGTGACGCATGTTGTGACGCACCTTGTTACACTTGAAAGAACTCTCCAAGGACTTGACTTACCACATCTTACGACTCACATGTGAACTGACCCCTTTCTCATCTTTTTGCTACTAGGTTGGAGGCCATCGCTTCTAGGGTTCACCTGCACTGAGGCCCGTGCAGAGTGCTCTGAAGCATACCGGGCATTCAGCCAGTCCCTCTGCCTTCAGGATAGTTCGGTGGGTTTGTTGCAAGGCTGTTCTGTTGGAAGGGACCAGCAAAGAACCCATCAGCATCGCTGCTATACGTCACAACACCATTCACTGTCGTGGGGATCGGAAATTCCAGCAATGCCAGGAGCCCCTAGTAGCGTCCTTGCTCCTAGTAAGGCAAGCGCCCCTAGTAGCGTCCTTGCTCCTAGTAGTATAGTAGTAAGGCTAGGAGCCCCTAGTACCGTCCTTGTCCTAGTAGTATAGTAGTAGGGCTAGGGGCCCCTGGTAGCGTCCTTGCTCCTAGTAGTAAGGCTAGGAGCCCCTAGTAGCGTCCTTGCTCCTATAGTA